AGAGGAGGAGGAGGAGGAGGGGAGGAGGAGGAGGAGGAGGTGGGCCGCCCCCGGCCTGCGCGGCCTGGGAGCGCCAGGCCGGGGGGCACCCCTCCGAGCGTGGCCCTGTGTTCTCATCCGGGCCCCGGGCCCCGCAGAGCCACCACGGAGGATCCGACTCTCCCAGGGCGGCGTCGCGAGTCGCGATCGTGGGCCAGGCACTCGCCGAGGGCTCAACGACTTCTGCCGTCCATCGACGGGCGCCGGAGCTGCCACAAGAAGCCCAAGAAGCCTTCCACGAGAAACCCGACCCTGAGACCCCAGGACGTCCGCTGATTTTCAGTGGGGGGGAACGTCACGCGTTCCACGGCAAGACCATCGAGACCCCGAGAAAGCCAGGGCACCCTGGAGGCAAGCAGGGTGCTGCTTGGCACGGGTCCTCCACCGCCGGGAGGTCGCGGGGTCGACAGCTCTGCTCCGGCCCGGCTGCCGCACGCTTGCTCAGACCAGCGATCCGGATGGCAATCGTCGAGTGACATCCCCTGGGGCCTGGAGGCGGCCTTCTTCCGCTCCACCGACTTCTTTTTCCTTGACGTCGAACGCTTCCGCCTGAGCTGCACCACTTACGCGGACAACGAAGCAAGCACCCAGCACTAGCACAGAAGAAGTCAGTATGGCCCTCTGTGGCCAACAACACAGACCGAACCCAGTTGCAGAATGAGAGACAGCTGCAGCGCCAGAGCTGCGCCAGCCTCATTTACTCGTTTCGCCACGTCGTGAGCGATAGTGCAAGCACAAGACTACCCACACACGACCAGAGAAGCTGGGTCGAACAATGCGTAGAATGACAAGCCTCTGCAGGGGGTCAGCATGTCCACAAATTCACATACGCCTGATTCAGAACCTTGCCCACATCACTGCACGAATCGCGAATTGAGGAAAACAGACCGCATTCAGTGGCTCACCAATTCTGCGAACAACTAATCGAAATGCCGACAACTCATCGCCAACAGAACACGGTGTCGCACGCAACCGCCTTCTCCATCTGCTAAATATGGAGTGTGCTTGTTTGAATACTTCCTTCGCCTCCACCGTTCATCCCGAGTCTTCCCGTCCACGCCGAGACGTTCACATCGCAGACTCACTCACCCAATCACTCGCACCAGCTGGTTCATAGTCATACTCACTGATACCAAGCCACTCATAGCCACTCATACCCAGACCCAGACTCATTCGTACTCAGACTCTCTCAAACTCTGATTCGCTCATACACAGACCCACCCATACGCATACCCATACCTCTCCTCATCCATAGTCATACACACATTCACTCACCATCATACTCACTCATATCCAAGAAACAATCATCGTAAACGGGCCTCCAGGGTGTTTCGACCACGGGTGTGGAATGCCCGCATTGGCAGAACCCCAGATTATCGCAAGCTAGCACTAGGTCGGACATGTCCTCCTACAGGCGGATTTTCAAGGACAAATTAAAATACTCAAACAACAAATATAAGATTATCGGAAAATCGCCCCCCGACTATCTTGTTACTATTTTTGGATATTCCTCCTGTAGAGGGACAGGCCCGACCTAAAGCTGGCAGGCATCACAATCGGGCCTCCCAGGGAGGACCCACGTTCCAGGTCTCGCCCAGGCTGGTGGAACCTGTGATGTGGAACGCACCTCCGCCTCCTGCGCCTCCTCCTCCTCCTCCTCCCGAAGCCAGCCGCCCAGCCGCAGCTTAAGGCCATTTAATTACCCGGGTCCACGCACCGAAGGGGGACCTCTCGGGCAGAACGCCTGCCTGAGGGGAGTCCGGGGCCTCTCTCCAGAGCCCCGCGATCACCGCGGTCTAACGGGCCCCGCACTCGGGCCTCAGAGGGGTGTGGCAGCCGTGATCGGTCCACGTGCCCGCTGCCTTTCGCGCTCAACTGGAATAGCCGCTTGGGGGGAGGACGCGCGTCTCTCTTCAGAGCCTGATAGCTGCCGCGTGCTTCCTAGCATCGCACTTGGGCCGCCCAAAGAGAGCGCCGCCGGTGGGGGTGACGGCATCGCGGGCCCGCTCGAGCACAGAGTGGTGGGACCTTTCAGGCAGAACATCTGTCTTGGAGGGAGACATGGGTCTCCTTACACAGCCCGCTGACTACAGCGAGCTAGCAGACATCGCACTTGCGCTCCACAACCGGATCGACCAGGGTGCTATCGCGGGTCTGTTTGCGCCGAAACGTGTAAGACCTCCCCAGGTGGAACGCCTATTTTGGGGGGGGCAAGCGCGTCTCTTCTTCAAAGCGCCATGACAACCTCAAGCAAGCAGACATCGCTCACGCCCTCCCGCATAGGTCTCGACATGGCTGTATTGCAAGGTCCCGCACGCGCCCAGAAAGGTGGGACCTCTCGGTCCCGCTTGGCTTGCAATGTACGGGGGGGGGTGAAGAGCCTCATCCTGACCAATGAACCTTTCAAAAACAGCTTCTCATCTCACAAGTTTTGATGAAAGGCAGACGCTTCCCTTTTCTCCTCGTCCCCCTACTCCTCCTCCTCCTCCTCCTGCTCCTATTCCTCCGCCTCCTGGCCCACCGAGGCCACGAAAGGTCTTAGGAGGCCCCAGGAAGCTCCAGACGGCCCTGGAAGGGCCCAAGAAGCTTTAGGTCGGGCATGTCCCCCTACAAGCGGAAACTGGGCGATAAAATCAAAAATCAACAATAGTCGAACATCGTTCCCAGACTGTGTTTTGACTAATGTTTGAATACTCCTCCTGTAGAGGGACAGGCCCGACTTAAAAGAAGCTTCAAGAAGCCGTAGGACGTCAAAGTTGCGAGGCGAGTACAAGGCGAGGGCGCCAGATATGCTTGCCCCCCCCAGTCCCGATTAATATATATATATATATATATATAAAATACACATATGCACAAATATATACCCATATACATGAATATACATATATATATATTCATTTATATATACACATCTATATATACACACATATATATATATATAAATATATATATATATCCATAATTATGCACCACCCGCCGAGGCTTAGGTCGGGCCTGTCCCCCTACAGGGGGATTTTGGAGGAAGAATTGAAAATACCCTCAAAACACTCCCAAAGTGCAAAAAAATAATCCAAAAATCGTCCCCAGGCTACTTTTGGACTACTTGTTGAAGATTCCTCCTGTAGAGGGACAGGCCCGACTTAAGCCGAGGCCCCCGAAGCTCGATCCCCCAGGCGGTTGTTCCGGATGAGCCCCCACCGCTGACAAGCATGCCCCAGAGTGTACCGGGAAGCCCAAGGTGTCTCCAGAGTTCCACCACGAGACCCCCCCCAAGACACGGACACACAAGCACACCTCCGAGGCGACGAAACATCGGCTGGTCTTCAAGATGACGAGACGCATCAGCAGGAGCGCGGGAGATCCACGTGCCTGTGCACAGCGGAGCAGCAGTTCGACGCGGGGAGCCGGTGGCCGCCATGGTGACAAAAAGGTAGGCCCTCAAGGACAGCACTGCCCGCGGTGGTGGTTGTCCACACCGCCAGGGGTGCCATTGGACGGTGCATACGGCAGGTCGTGACGTGACGAACCCGGCGCGGGCTTCTGACACCGCGTGTATCGTTCAACCTTCAAAGATCGGCAGCTGCTCGATCGCAGGAGCATTCCATGTTGGCCGATTCTGGGCCAGCTGCGCCGTTCAGCCTTGAACGCCCGCGGCAAGGTCGCTGCCACGTCGGCACGACACGAACCGACCGCACCTCAAGGACAGCCAACAACAACACACACACACCAAACACCTCATCCATCCGACGACCGCGAAGTCCGAAGCGATTAAGCTTCTGCCATGATGCCGGCATGCCGGCTGGCCACATCAGATAACAACTATCACGACTTGTCGTCATGGACTACGGCGCCGATTGCTGGCGAGGCCCAAAGCTAGCGAAACATCGTCCGAACTGCCAAGTTCAAGCATAAAAAGCGAAGAAGCTCCACTGGTCAATGCATGAGCGTATACATGGGGCTCGCGCTGAGGCAACAGTGCCGCCTGATAGGATGAATGAATCTACATATGGGCTAGGCGCAGATCATTGTTCCCTGCTTGTTTGCCCCCTCGGCGTGCGAAGCCATGTTGCAGCTACTTCGATCTTATGTCTGTCTCCGCTGAATTCATGTCTGGTACTTCCGCATCTCGGGAAAACCCTCGCATTCTGAACATGCATCCAGTTCTCCCACATGGTTACACAGAACACGGGGTTGTTTGATGATGGGGCTCTCACCAAGGTGAGATCGGCAAATGCCGAAGCCTCCTAAGCCCCGCACATAGTGCGAACATACCCACATGCTTCAGGGATTCGCATCACTGCCCACGACCCCACGAATTAGCCCCTGCCACGCTCCACCAACCAAATACCATAACTAGCCTTGCTATCCGCCCCCCCGCCCCCCTCCCAATCCGCTGCCCTGTGATGCCACGTGATGCCTTCCACTCCCACGTGATGCCCTCCGCTGCCACATCAGATTGTCAAGCACACACTGTCGGAGACCCACGAGCCGATTCGGCGCTCCATGCTCCATTCGGGTCGGGCGAAAGGGGGGGATAGCAAAGGGGGAGAATGAGAATCAGCTCACGTGGCTGATTTTCCCGGCGCCTCCCGGCGCCGCAGGCGGCCATGTATCGAGGAATGGGCCCCTCGGCGAGGCCGAAACCAGCTGCATGCAGCAAAATTTCGTAACCCCCCCTTTCCCAATCCCCCCCTTTCGCCCGGCCCGAGAAAATACCGAAAAAACCTCCCGTCGCGTTTTGTTCACAGCGCGAGCCCCACCTCTGTCCGCTGGGGCCGAAGCCTCCCGGCGGGCGGGGCGCACGGTGCCGCCTCGTCCGCCGGGAGGCTCCGCCGCGGGCTGAAGCCGCCTCGCCCGACCCGATCCATTAAGAGAACACCCCGACGAAGGGCCGATCACCCACGATCGGCTCCCTGCGATCCATCCCCGATCGGCCGCTCGCGTGCGGCTGAGGGCGCGGCGACGAGTCCCTCTTCCTCGACGACTCCGACCGCTTCCTGCCGAGCCGCGGCTCCCCCCCCCCCTCCTCCCGACGACGCTTGGCGGCGCACACTCTGGAGTGGGGGGGAGGGCTCCGCAGAAGGAGGCTGTTTCATAGAAGCCGCTGGCCTTCCATCGACGGACCAGGCCCGCCCCCCCTCCTCCCGACGACGCTTGGCGGCGCACACCTTGGAGTGGGGGGGAGGGGGGGAGGGCTCCGCAGAAGGAGGCTGTTGCCTGGAAGCCGCTGGCCTTCCATCGACGGACCAGGCCCGCGCCTTCTACGAAACAGGGCAAGCCTCCCCCCTGCGCGTGGCCGCGACGTGGCCGCGACGTAGACCCAGACATGCGACGTCCTGATTTTCTCAGGACGGCGTCACCGGAAGTCCCGACCCATTCCCCGGGACCGCCCCGGGGCCCGGCGAGGGCCCCCCCGGGGCCGAAACTGGCCTCAGGCCTGCCGCCCTGAACTTTTCCACGGCGCGATCCTGCCCGGGGGGAGGCGGGCACTCTGCACAGCCCGGCCGGGGCCCCTCCCAGGGGGGGCAGGGATCGGTGCACGCACGCCCTCCCGGCGTGGCCTCTAGGGAGGCACGCGCGCCGGCCCTGGGCGCGCAGGACGGGGCCCAGCCAGGCTCGGTGCACGCGCACAGCTCGCTCCGCCAGAGATCCCCCTACGGCAGGTCCGCGCGGCGTCGGCGCGCGCCGAGGTTTTTGACACCGCGACAATCGTCCAACCTTGAATCGATCGCGGCCCCGATCGTTCAAGGTTGAATTCCGTTGGGCCCAGTGGCGGTACCGCGTCCCTCGGTGCACCCGCGCCAGGCCTTCAACCTTGAAAGCCTTCGCCGGCGTCGCAGGCGCACCAACGCCGCGTGAACATACCGTACTCCGTCCTGCTGCGAACACTCCTCGTCCTCCGCCTATCACCATGCCTCATCATCCTTCTTCTCCTCGCATCTCACCCATGGAAGGAGGGGGAGAGCATCGGAGTTGGAGGAGGAGGAGTGATATGGGGAAAAACGAGGATGATGATAAGGTTCTGGATTTGTTCTTCCTCCTCCATCTACTGTGCCCAATAGCATCACCCCCATCAGCCCCATCATTATGTCACTCCTGCTCCTCCTCATATCCCCCCATAAGAGGAGGAGGGGGGAATGAGAAGGGGAATAAGTAACTCCTTAACCTCATCCAACCCTGGAGCCCTCTGGCAACTCCTTTTCCTCCTTCTCCTCGTTCCCACTCTTCTTCACTCCTTCTCCGCCTGCCATCGGAAAGATGCGACGAGGAGCAGAAGTGATAGAAAGAGGAGGATCGGAGGAGGAGGATAGGGAAGAAGGACGACTGACTCCTCAACCACATCCTCCTGTTCATGCCCATCCTCGTCCTCCTCCTCCAACTCTGGTTCCCCGTTCTGGGCGGAACTAGTGAGAACCCTAGGGAGAAGCAGACAAAGCAACAACACACACACACAACAAGCAAACAAACAAACAATTCAACAAACACGACAGCAAGACTGTCAAGTTATTAGTTGCCGCAAATTGATACTTGGCGAAGGCACCGCGCCAAAATGCCGTGCAAACGAAAGTGTCACGTTGTCATCTTTTTTTATGTGGCGGAGGCGCTAAGCGTTTCTCCCGAGAGCGAGCACAAACCGTTGGGTGTTTTTAGGTTGGCAGTGGCGTTGCTGGCTGCCCAGCAGCGAAAACTCAACATTTGGGTTGCCCCTGTACCCGCATCGGTGCGCACGCTCGTTTCTTGTGTTGGGGGTGCTAATAGTAGCAGCAGCAGTAGTAGTAGTAGAAGAAGAAGAAGAAGGAGGAGTAGTAGTGGTAGTCGTAGTAGTATTAGAAGAAGTGGTAGTCGTAGTAGTAGTGATAGTAGTAGTGGTGGCAGAAGCAGTAGTAGTAGTAGCAGTAGTAGTAGTAGTAGTAGTAGTAGTAGCAGTAGGAGTAGTAGTAGTAGTAGTAGTAGTAGTCGTAGTAGTAATAGTAGTAGTAGTAGCAGTAGTAGTAGTAGTAGTAGTAGTAGTCGTAGTAGTCGAAGTAGTAGCAGTAGTAGTAGTAATAGTGGTAGTAGTAGTAGTAGTAGTAGTAGTAGTAATAGTAGTAGTGGTAGTAGTAGTAGTAGTAGTAGAGGAAGTCGTAGTAGTAGTAGTAGTAGTATCAGCAGCAGAATGAGAAATAGCAGTAGTCGTAGTAGTAGTAGTAGTAATAATAATAGTAGTAGTGGTAGTAGGAGTAGTAGTAGTAGTAGTAGTAGTAGTAGTAGTAGTAGCAGTAGAAGTAGTAGTAGTAGTGGTGGTGGTAGTTGTTGTAATAATAGTAGTAGTAGTAGTAGTAGTAGTAGTAGCAGTAGCAGTAGTAGTAGTAGTAGTAGTAGTAGTAGTAGTAGTAGTAGTAGTAGTAGTGGTGGTAGTGGTGGTAGTAGTAGTAGTAGTAGTAGTCGTAGTAGTAGTAGTAGTAGTAGTAGAAGTAGTAGTAGCAGTAGTAGTAGTAGTCATACTACTAGTAATCATCGTCGTAGTCGTAGTAGTAGTAGTAGTAGTAGTAGTAGCAGCAGAATTAGTAGTAGTAGTAATAGTAGTAATCGCCGTTGTCGTCGTAGTTGTAGTCGTAGTCGCAGTCGCAGTCCGAGTAGTAGCTGAAATAGTCCTAAGCGAAGTAGTAGTAGTAGTAGTAGTAGTAGTAGTAGTAGTGATAGTAGTAGCAGTAGTAATTATAGAAGAACTAACAATGGTAATACAAGTCGTCTTAGCCATAGTCGTAACAATACTAATCGTCATAGTAGTCGTAGTAAGAATAGTAGTCGTAGTAGTCGTAGTACTAGTAATCGTGGTAATAGTAATAATAGTAGTAGTCGTTATATCAGTAGTAACGATTGTAGTTTTAGTAGTAGCAGTAGAAGTAGTAGCAGTAGCAATAACATCAGCAGCAGTAGTAGTAATGGTGGCAATAGCCGTGGCCGTTCGAAGACGGCCCCTGGGACACTCCCCAGGCCCCAATAAAACCTAGGAAGAGCTGAACACTTGACAATACGACGCACGAGACCGAACAGACCCGAACAGTCTCCCAAGGGAAGTTCTTGGTATAATCAAGTTGCGCGGCACGTTACCCAGCCATCGAAGTTCTTTTTTTGGATATCAAGCTGTCCCATGTTCCCCGCTGAGCGAAGAAACTACGCTTGGCATGAATAAATTTGGCGGGGGGCGGTCGCAGAATGTCCTGCAAACGAAGTGTTGGACGCCGCACTTATTAATTCGGCAGGGACCTTGGCTAAAAGTACCGCCCGAAAAAACAATCAGAATTTAGAAGAGTAGGTGCAACAACAATGACAACAAACACTGGGGATGATTCGCACCCCTCTCCCCAAAATACGTCGCTAGGGATGTGTGTTTTGTGTGTATGTGTGCGCGTGCGTGTGCGAATGCGCGTGCGTGTGCGTGTGCGCGTGTTTGTCCGAGTTCGTGTGCGCCTGCGTGTCTGAGTCTGTGTGTGTGCGCGTGCGTGCGTATGCTGAGTGCGCGAGTGCGTGAGTGCGTGAGTGCGTGGGTCTCTGAGTGTGAGTGTGTGGGTGTGAGGTGTGAGGTGTGTGAGAATGTGTGCGCGTGTGTGTGTGCTTGCGCAAGTGCCACAACTTCCTGGCATTCGGCCTCTGTGACCTCCTCCCCTGAGCCGCATACCTCCACGGCGCTCACCTCGGCCCAGTCCCCGAAGAAAAACCCGCCACAGCTCTCCAAAGAATGGACCTCTGCGACCGGTTCTGGCAGCGACATTGTGTCGTTATTAGGGTCCTGAGCAGCGCCTGCCATGCTGTTGGGTTTGGGGCGAGCCCTCAGGTTGGCCTTCCAGCACTTGCCGGAGCGATTTTTCGCGCTCCCCCCCGGCCGGAATACTGGGCGAGCGCTGACGCAGGAGGGACACATCTTTTCAAATGCGAGGACGCTGGATATGGAACTGAAAGCCGAGCTTCTGCAGGAGCTCTGCCAGCAATATCCCGACCGGTGCGACGTCCTCTATTTACAGGCTGGGGTGACAACAGAGCTGCAGAATCCCGGAAGTCTGCGTGGAGGTCAGTCGACGAAATATATAGCGAGCGAAACTCCATCGACGAGGTACCCAGCGAGCGGAGGTCCATCGACGAGATACCAAGCGGCAGGAGGTCCATATATCAAGCGGACAAAAATCCCCTTGCGCAAGTACAGCAGTAGACTTAGCCTGCTCAGACAAGCTCAGTGTCCGTGGCCAGCTGGTCAGGGGCATTGAACAATTTCGCGCCCCACGCGATGGGAAGATCAAAAGCGAACCGAATATTTACGACTCTGGCTTTAGTGCGGAAAATACCCGGGGTATCAGAGCGGCACGTGAGTGTGAAAATGTGTGAGTGCGGGTCTGTGTGTGTGAGAATATGTGTGTGTGTGCGTGCGCGCGCGAGTCCGCGAGTGCATGCGCGTGCGCGTGCGTGTATGCGTGCACGTGCGCGTGCACCTGTGCCTGTCCCTGTGCCTGTGTCTGTGTCTGTGTCTGCGCCTGCGTTTGTGTCTGTGTCCGTGTCGGTGTCTGTGTCTGTTTCTGTGCCTGTGTCTGCATTTGTGTCTGTGCCTGTGTCGGTGTCTGTGTCTGTGTCTGTGTCGGTGTCTGTGTCTGTGTCTGTGCCTGTGTCTGCGTCTGCGTCTGTGCCGGTGCCTTTGTCTGTGTCTGTGTCTGTGCATGTGTCTGTGTCTGTGCCTGTGCCTGCGTCTGCGTCTGCATCTGTGTCGGTGCCTATGTCTGTGTCTATGTCTGTGTCGGTGTCTGCGTCTGTGCCAGTGTCTGCGTATGCGTCTGTGTCGGTGCCGATGTCTTTGTCTGTGGCTGTGACTATGTCTGTGTCTGTGGCTGTGTCCATGTCTGTGTCTGCGTCTGTGTCTGAATCGGTGTTTATGTCTGTGTCTGTGTCGGTGTCGGTGTCGGTGCCGGTGTCTGTGCCTGTGTCTGTGTCTTCGTCTGCGTCTGTTTCTGTGTATCTGTGTCTGTGT